ATTTGTTCAACTCACTTCCTTCTGGAAGGGAGTTGCACTGATTTTTAATGCTTTTCTCTTTTTTTTTATTGACTCCCCAAAATAATAGCCAAGGGCCCAACATTTTTGACTATATAGGGAGGTCTATGAATTGTTATTATTGCAGGAATTCAGACAAGGATATATAAAAAATGTTGACTGTTCAAGGAGGTTTGAAATATCAGGGTTAAACTGCATAAAGTCTTCTGGAACAGAACTAAGCTGATTTTTAAATTATGTTTTGTATTTCTTGAGTCCCAAAAATAATAGCCAATGGCCTCCAGAAAATTTGATTTAGAGAATTCTATAAATTATTATTATTCTAGGAATTCAGAAAGGGAAATAAAAAATTGGATAAAGGAGGTCTTATATATCCATGTCCAACTTTGAAAAAACTTCATGTTTCAAGGTATTGGAATGCATTACTTCTGATGTGATATACTGTACCTACTTTTCACTAATACTTACTTCTTTGTCTTTGCTCCCTCTTCTTCCTCATTCCTTCCGTTTTTATTTCCATTCCCTTATACCTATACACAGTGAAACAAAGCCAAGACCGTGATGAAATGTCGTCCAGCAGCCGCTGAATGATGTCTCGTCAAGATGAATAAGTTCATGCATCAGGAACAAGACTCAATAATCTCACCCTCCAGCACCATCATGTGCAGTTCGGCTCATCCGTCATCGGCATTGTACTTATTATTGTTGAGAGTTGGGGTAAGATCACAGCATGCTGAGATGGATCATTTTCGTGGATACTCGAGTTTGAGTCGAGTCATGTCTTAATTATTACATATATATATATATGTTCTGATGAGCATCATATACAGCACGATGGAGTGTGCTGCAGCCCGCTGCTGTGTTCGTGATCCTCGTCGAACCCGCCAAAGTTATTTAAGGAGAAAATCGTGCTTTATGTACAACCGTACAAAAATAAAAGCAACAGCTTCTGCCAAATTTTGTTGTTGATATTTCTTTATGTATACAGTATATGCAGTATAGTGGTGTCTTGCCTGTATATAATAAACGCAATCTGTTCAAACGTTATGTTTGCAATGGGTAAAACGTTTGATGTAGTTGAGACCAGTATAACCGATTGGGTGTAATCCAAAAGCCCCCCTGCCAAAAGCCCCCCTTGGTCAAAAGCCCTCCTGCCAAAAGCCCCCCCCCTTTGGTGCAAAAATTGGGGATTACAGGTCTCCTCGTAACTCTTGATGGTAAACTGCACCTTTCATTAGCAGCAGGCCCAGCACAAGGCCAAGTACCAATATGTTTGTAAAATGAGTATATAAAGGGATTCCTTACCGGCAATGGTCATCAGTGATTCTTTGAATATCAAAGCATCATCACTTGCTGACTTCTGCAAAATCTACAGTTCACCTTGCTGATCAAATGGCTGGTGCACTTCAGATCATCAAAAATCAGAAGGGTGGCGAAAAGGCATACTACAATGGCTATTTATTCATGGTTAAGAGCACAAATGCCAGTAATAGGTGCTGGAAATGTGCTAATTAAGAAGGAGATGCAATAAAAGGGCCACATTCAGAAGAAAATGACATTGAGAGTATCAGTGACACTGAGGAAGAGGCTGCAGAAGGCAATTTTGAAGATGATTATTTAACAGTCATATTGAGGACTAATGAATCCAAGCAGCCCTTCTCAAGGCCACCAACACTGTTATGAAACTTGCATCCAAAAAAAAGTGGGGTGGGGCTTTTGGCAGGGGGGGGGGCTTCTGACCTAGGGGGGCTTTTGGTTGGGTACCAACCGATTCATTGCTGGTTCATTGAAAAACGTTTGTGCAGAAAAATGTTGCAAAATTGCTTGAACTTTCATGAGATTGTAGTTTAGATTCTCAAAAATACTCCGGGCAATGTATATTTTTTCATGTTGCAACATATTTTTTTCAAATTGAGAAGAATGGACGACAGGGATGTACTGTATACAAATGTGACATATCCAGCCAGAACATTTGAATCAATTATGAACGCATGAGTTTCATAGGTGTTGCATCTGAATTCTGAGTCAAGTGCAAATGCTGGTTCTTTGAGGTAAATATACCCGTCTGGAACTAGGAAAAAATTTGATTACTTGCTCCAACTCAAATATTTGCATTCAGAACAAAATTGGATTTTGGATCTGTCAAAAACTCATGAAAACGTTTTCACAAATCAATTTTCTCTTTTCAAAGATTGAATATTTTGGAATTTTTCTGGCAAAAAGTGCACAATCTGCAAGGCCCTGACATTTGCTAGAGATAACTAAATTTTTTAGGCAAGTTATGCTGTACTGTACAGTGAATCCCTGCCTAATGGACCTCCTGTCTATAAGGGATTTTTGCCTAACAAACCACCTCATCTGGAGGCAGTTTTTTCTCTGGCCTAATGTACAAAATCCACTTACTGGACTTCTCTTGGATTAATATTACAGTGATGGTAAAAATTAAATATTTGAACTTCTTAATAATTGAATTTTCATAACAGACTTTTCACACAACAGACTAGTCTGTTGCACAAATTAAGTCCATTGTGTAGGGGTCAACTGTACTGTACATATATTTTCTTGGGGCTTGCTAGGTGAGATTGTCATCCAAATTTCTCCCTGCCAAATGACCTCTATGTCAAAAGCCTCCCTGCAAAAAGTCCCCCTTTGCGCAAAAGCTCAGGGATTACATGTATTCTTGTAACTTTTGATGGTTAGGTGCAAATTTCCCCCACAGCCCCAGCAGCATAAGGCCAAATAATGGTACTGTACTGTATTTCTAGAACTATTTATGGTAAGCTGCGCCTTTTATCAGCAGACCAGCACACTGCTAACTGAACATCTTTCTGTAAGTTGAGTATATAAAGAGATTCTTCACCTGCAGTGGTCATCATTATTTCTTTGAATGTCACAGCATCATGATTTGCTGACTTCTGCAAAATCTACAGTTCACCTTGTTGGTCCAATAACTGGTGTACTTCAGATCATGAATAATCAGAAGGGCGGTCAAATTGCGTACTACAATTGCTATTTAGAAGAAAATGACATGGAGAGCATCAGTGACAGTGAGGAAGAGGCAGCAGAAGGCAATTTTGAAGATGATTATTGAACAGTCCTTTTGAGGACTAATGAAACCAAATAGCCCTTCTCAGGGCCACCAAGCTGTATTATGAAACTTGCTTCCAATTATAAAAAAGTGGTGGGGGGCTTTTGGCAGGAGGGGCTTTTGACCTAGGGGAGCTTTAGGCAGGGGGGCTTTTGGTTGGGTACCCTTTTGCCAGGGGGGGGGGGGGTTGGTTGTACAGCTAGGTGAGGTACTGCTCTACTGTCATGTGCTAGGATTATTGTGTTGCCACCTGATGAATGCTGATGGACGGTCGTATCAGCAGTGTACAGCAGTCAGTGCTGAAACTACTGATGGTGTTTTATCTTGGGAAATCCATCTGCTAATAAATGAAGTTGGCATCTGCTACTGTAGTGTAAATCATGAAATTATTTGCAATACAGTACTGTACTGGAAATCATCTTCCTTCCTTATCCAGTATCCCTTTCAAGATACTGTACAATGATGTAAAACTTTACAGTATATTATAGCCTATATTTACAAACCTGGGGTAGACCTAAGACCAATCAGCAGAACTTTTGTTTTAAAAAATACATAGGGATGATGGTGGATCTTTTGGTCATGCATGAAGATGAAAACTACGAAAGTACCAATATGTTTGTTCCTCCCCACCACCACCACATAAAGTGGCTGCATGTAGACTGTAGCACCATCTGTTTCTCAAAAAGATTATCAGATAAGATTACATGGTGTTTAAATTTCTGTGGTGAATCAAGGGGTATAAAAAAATGGGTGCAGGATAAAATCCCGTGGGAGAAAAAATCCCGCGGCCCGAAAATCCCGTGCGGCCGAAAATCCCGTAGGCCCAAAAATCTCGAAAGGTCCGAAAATCCCGAAAAAAGAATTTTCATATCAGAAAAACATAGAAAACTACAGAAGGGCAATGCTATTTAAATAATTCAAAATTATCAGACATCTAAATGCAGTTATACATAGTGATATTTCATTTTCAATCTTAATATTCAATATACAGTACATGATGTATAAGAAATAAAATAAAAAATATGTAAAATGTCCACAAATTGGACAGTTGGAAGGGTAACCTATAGAGACACTATTACAATTTTGTAGTACAATTGGGATTTTTGAACCTACAGGATTTTCGTATCTATGGGATTTTTGGACCATGCGAGATTTTCCGCCCTACGGGATTTTTGGCCTCACGGGATTTTCGGGCCGCGGGATTTTTTCTCCTGCGGGATTTCATCATGGAGCCAACCTACAGGATTTTCGTATCTATGGGATTTTTGGACCATGCGAGATTTTCCGCCCTACGGGATTTTTGGCCTCACGGGATTTTCGGGTCGCGGGATTTTTTCTCCTGCGGGATTTCATCATGGAGCCAAAAAAATTGGCTGGATATCAGATAATCAATAGCTGTTGTAGCATTTTTTTGAAAATCAATTTGGTTGCTCTGAAGTAATTTCGCATGTTATTGTTATAATAATGAAAATGATGAATTTGTTGTAATCAGTTATTCGTTCTAACAAAGATCCTACCGCAATAAAAAAAAAAGTGCAACATTCCTGGAGGGCGCAACCGCCAATTGCGCAATATTCTTTCCCTCTGCTATACCTGTGCCATTTTCTCGGTCTCTGCCGGTATTAGTCGCGATGATTATGTTGACCTTGCGAAAGCATTTCACAGTCTCCTTGAATAGAGACTCCGCTCAGAAAAGAAAACAAAACAAAAATCTTTGGAAATTCCTGGGTAAATCCTTCTGTGGCCTCACTTGTCCGTTAGCCAAGACGATATAGACAGCAAGGGTCTCTCTCGACCAAAACATTTCTCCTGGTCTTGCTGATTCATTTCTTTTTTTCTTTTTCGACGAGTGTGCTATCCTTCATCGTGGTCATATTCTGTCGGAGCATGAGAGATGGTACCTCGAGTGATGAAGGCTGCTGTGGTTCCCTTGATTGGCGTGTGCCTTATTGTGCTGCCAGTGCTCGTGTTCACGTTTCCTGCAGAGTCCAGCAATGCTGAAGTGCTGGTCGTGGCGAACAACGCAACGGAGGAAGCAAAGTGAGTCTCTGATGCTTATAAAATTAAAAAAAAAATCTGCATACATCAGTGGAACGTATAATCCATAATAACTCGAACCTTGGTATGTCGACATTTTTCAGAGTCCCTGTCCGAATTCCCTGAGAGAGGAAAAAAATTTTTAAAAAACCACCCTCACTGGAACACTTTTCTCCTCCTTAAACGGCCATAATACTGTAACGCGAATTTCCTGGCGGCTTTTTGGTGTTATTTGATTGACACAGGAAATGAAAGAAGCAATTTAAATGCATGAATATGTGTTTTTAGAAGGAATTGAAAGCTGACTACAGTAATTGGGCAAGTGAAGCCGCCTTATTGGCGAAAACTTCAGCATGCTGTCAACTCATTTAAGAAACGGCGGTTCAAGGCCTAGAATATCACCAATTGCAATTTCCTGTGATTCTCTGTTTTTTCTCAAAACAAAAGGCTAGTTTCTCAGAAGGAATTTTAATTTGTTTGCTGATGGTCCCCCTTAAAATGTGTCCTATCTTAAATGAAGAGGCTCTATTACTGCTGTACAATACAGTAATAAAGGTTCTTTGAAAATACTGTAGCTTTTTTTTTTTTACCTGATCACTGCAATCGAATCGGTGTCTTCATTTTCATCTGCGCATTGTACTGCACACGTTTTCTCGTGGCGCATTTAAAAATTGCTTGTGAAATCACTGACTTTCCCGATTTATGCGCTCGGAAGACTATAATTGACGATTGTGTATGGTTCCTAAAAATAATGTTTTCGAAGATTTTCTTTGGTCGCCAGTTTGATGCTTTTAGATTGTAATGGGCTAACTGTAAGAAGTTTTCTGGTAATTCGCCAGCGCAAGGTATTCAAAGGCCTTTGATCTAGTTGTACTTTTGAGCCCGCCTGCGCATGCGAAGCGATAAAATGAACTTTCAATTTAGAATTGTCGCTGCTGTGTGACGTCTGCTGCTGTTCATACGAGGTTTGTCCCACATGTGCGCGACCTTGGTCATTTCTAAAATTATTATGACTGAAAATCATAATATAATCGATGAAGTTATAAGGTTTTGGAATTTTTTCGCGTTTTGAAAAACATATTTTTTATTTATTTATTTAATAATATAAGGATACATGTATATATAAACTTCTGTTATGCAGCCCCAGCTCGTCCCCATGTCACTAGGATGCTAAAATTCTACAGTTCAGTTAAATTTTTTTCAAGCATTGTACTTCCGAAACTTTAGATGGTGGTTAAGTACTTGAAACAAAGAAATTTCGAATTTCGGCTGGCCTGACGGAACTTTTAGCTCCCAGCAGCAGTGTAACATGGGTGAAGAACTCTGGCTGTGACCGGCAATTTTTCGCTGGTCATCATGCAGTAAATTTAAAAATAATCCTTTACAAATAAAAAAAAAACATCCCAGAACTACAGAAGCTTAGAACGGCTTGATATATGTCATGATTGTTTTTTTTTTTTACAGTCATTCTACAAATATTGTTACGCAAGGTCACGTCCATCAGCCGTGTCCCCGAAACTTTGACTCCGGTCGTTTTTATGCTGCGTCTGATTCATGAGTTCGGATTCTAACGAAAATAAAATGCGCCGAATACTCTTGCATTCACGTCATGATTACGACATTAATTAATGTCATTAATTAATAATGTCAATTGATTTACGTCATCAATTAATAGCTTCAAGAAGATTGCCTTTGGTATATATGCACTAACTCATGACTTATTGGAAGTCCACAGCTGTGATTCCCTCTATCCTCATCACGTTGGTGATTTTCGTAGGCAAAGCTTCGAGCGACACCTAGGCATGCTTGCTGCACACACTCGGCAAGCAGGTTCCCCAGGTGGTGTATCAGGCCCGACTCTGATGCAAACCCTCGTCAACATCGCGGCGCCCAAGTTTTTCGACGAGCTGTTCCGCCGCATGATCCCCGCGTTTTTCGACGCCGCCACCACCGCCGTCAAGGGCGCCATGTCCATGGGCAAGAACCTCACAGACACCCTGGGTAACTTCGACGAGAAGTACATTGTGGCACACCTGGACCTCATGGACGGAATTGGGGATGAGGAACTGGAACAGCAGGACCTTCTGGAAGACGACGTTTCCTTCAGGGACGCCGTTTTCCGAGCCCTGGACGCCGCCGCAGTCGAGGTACAGGAGTGAATTGAAAATCCAGGCTATATAGCGTCTGTTCCAATACGTGATAATTAGTTTATATACGTGTTTTATCTGAGATTGAACTCATTACAGTGAATGTTATGCACAATGGACAGAGATTAATATAAAATGTTGTTCTGTAAACTAAAAACTGGCTTCCCTGAGATATTACATATAGAAATTTCGACGTTTTTATTTACCAAAAAATTTACATTCAACCCTTCAAACCAATTTTTGTGGTTGTTGGGATTGACCTAAATCAAATATCTTCAAGAAAATAGTCAACCCCAAAGTTTCCAAGAAGGATTATCAGAGAAGAAACAGTTTTACAGATTCTCAAGTGATGAAATCGTCTTCCAAATCCAGTTTTGGGCCTTTCATATATCCATTGATTACATTTCTTTCATTCCCTTTGATTTCATATTTTTTGCTAAATTAGTTGCTGATTTCTGTTCACTTCTGTGAAAAAAATGTGGACTGTAATCATGAATCCCATAAGTGGAATGCAATGTGAAAAAATCGAACAAAAATCGATTCAATATTCTGAATCTGGAAAATTAATTTTATAAATTGATTTCCCAGCATTATTTTCTTTGCATTTCTGCAGAATTTAAAATGCAGCTCAGAATATCATTTTTTGTTTTCTATATACAAGGCTTTATATAGTTAGCATTACTGTAAGTGTATAGAATAAAAATGTGTCTTAATTTTATCTTTATCCATGGCAACCCAAGTTTTCCGTGTCTAATGAATACCCTACTATGCTGTAAGAATATTTCCACAACACGAAGTTTTTCAATTGAAGAATATGAAGCAGTGGAAATATACCTATATGCTGAACTTTAAATCCATATATTGGAGAAAGTATGTCCAAATTTGAGCAAGTTCATTTTCAAAGCATTCAACCTTTTTGAATCGTCCAAATGCATCGTCCACGAATAGATGTCGTTTCTATGACGAGATTTTTCTCGTCATAATTGTGCTGTTGTTCTATGATGAGTCGCATATTTTATTTGTCTTTACGTGGATAATACGGGCAATTTTTAAAAATCGTTTCCAGATGATTCAAGATGAAGAGGAATCGTGAGTGCAGCTATGTTCTGGATCCATCAATCGGTTTCTTCAACGATCGGAAATTAAGAATGATTTCGTTAATTACGCTGGAACAGATTATTTGTCTGTAATAACATTATTCGACGAGATTTTATTTTTTCGTGGTTCCGCCTGCTTTATAATTTTGCATTTTTTTATGAGAAAGAACAACTTTTGTTGTACTACACTGGAAGCTGTATGAAATTATTTTAACAAAAAGCTCGATCAGTTTTCCATTGCAACATGGACACTCACTTTGAGGACTGATTTAGGAGTCTTGCAAAAAACATCTAAATCAACCCGCCGCACATTTGGCGAATCCCTCAAAAGAGATTGACTTCCTTGAGAGATGAGGGTGAGACGACAAAAACTATGCTTTCCTGGGAGATAATAAGGAAAAAACCTCCAGATGTGGTCCCAATACGTCATACACCGCAAAAGCATCGTAAAATCCGAAATGAAACAGGTTTGTAACCCTGGAAATGGTGAAAACTGTTGAGAGCGCCATTTTTTTTTTCTGTGGAACTTTGCTATAGTTCAACAGTTAGTCCAATATGCTTATGGCAACAAGTGAGAACTGGTTCAAATACTCCATCAGTGCTACACATCAAATACTTCACTCATTTTGATCAAGGTTTCAACTTTCTAGGTTTAAATTTGACCGGCAGAGAGATGCAAAATGTCAAATGCCATGTAGAAAACATGCCATTTCATATTGTCTTGCAATTTGACTGCTTTGCAATTCAACCCTAGTCCTGCAACAGATCAGGGTCAAATTGCAAGGTACTACCTTGTATTATTCTAGTTTCCTTTAGATTATTTTGGTTTATGTTTTAGGTTATGTCATCCTTTTTTTGATTGAAAATGAAAGATTTGGTGAGTCTTAAGTGAAGCTTATTATTAATGAATGAATGAATGAACAGAAAACTTTACTTGCTGCTTTTCAGAGTTCACAAGGTACAACCAAAACTCCCGCATCCAAACCCCCTCCCCACCCAACCCAACTCCCCCAAAATACATTCAATCATTTCAGAGCATGAGACAAAGCATAAACCAATGAAGCAGTAAAAGTTTATTTAAAGCACAAGGTCTTCAGCCTTTTTCTGTATGAGTTTTAGTTCAATGAACAATTTAGAGAATGAACAATATGTGTGTGAATGTGTGTAATAAATTAAAGACAAGGTAAGGCTCTTGCCAAACCCAATCCTTACAACTCAAAATGATTTCTACAAGTTTGTGAAGCATATGCAAATGCTTCCAAAATGTTTATGATGCATGTTGCTCCCACTTCCAAAATGTAATCTTCACACCTTGATCAATTCAAACACCCCAACTAGCCCAATAACCTTCAAGTTGATTTATTCAGTCCCTTGAAATTTAACTCATAGCATTGGTTTAGCTTAATGGTTTTATGGCTATTACAAACAATATTGTACTACCACTTTCACTCAAAAGCAAAGCATTTAAATCAGGGGAGTTGAGGATCTGAATACAAGTACAATAGTAGGGCTTAAATCTTTCAAACAAATTTTTTTTTCTGAAGCAGTCTGTGTAGAATAGGGCCGGAAAGGCAGCATGCAACAAACAAACAACTTGTCGTCCTCACAGCAGCCCCAATTAGTCACCCAGTATATCAGCAGTCGTGTTTAACTTGTGTTTACTTGGCTCGTCTGCGGAAGTGGGAAACAGATTCCTGCTGTGCGTGACACTCGTGTCTGTATCAATATAGGCATTTGTATCATGCGACTGGATGAAGCATTTCACGCACTGGATTGTCTCGTTGGATATCCAAAAGCATGTGCAGTATTAAAAGTGTCCCTGCTGCTGATGGCGCCGGGCGGGACGCCACAATCGCCGCCTCATCGTCCTCTCGACGGCCGACTCGGGCGACATTCCCGCGACGACCGAATTTTTTAAATCTCAAGTGTTTTTTTTTCGCGAAATTACAGTGAGTGTTTTTGTGGTGGTTTTACATCCATTTTTGAAAATTTTCGGGGATGACAATAAAGTGGAAATTACAGTACTTGGTCAAGGAACAGCTTTTACTCATGCTGATTTCATTTATTACAACACTCACTTGGTCCCGACTGATGCAAGAGTAGAAGATTTAAAATTTTAAAGATAATAGGAATTATTTATGCGATGAATGATTGTTTCTGTGACGTAACGCCCAGGAATAAATTAACTGAGCTAAGTATAAACAACGGTTCCGTCTTTCTATTTATTTCATAAGTTAACGTTGGGCTCATCAGGTTATGATACATGTGCATGAATCAAATAGGGAAAATATGAAAGAATGTGACAATTCCTGGCGCAAAAACTACTCTTTCGGCACGTCGACAACATTTAGTTTAGGAGTGAGCAGAAACCAAAATTATATCTTTAACTCAGTTCCTACGGTAACGTAGGAAAACCAATAATAATTCCAGGAATGGCTGATATTTGAGTCAGAAGCAAATTCCAAAATCTGATTTCAATGACTATTCGGATGAGTGCTGACATTTAAAAAAAATTGAAATCCGACATTAAAGTGAATCTGTTAGACAATAAAAAAATATTTAATCGACAAAAACAAATATGGTTGTTATTGCAATGACAAGTATGGAGATTGGTTTAACGCAACACCTGCATCAATGAAATGCTGATCATAAAGAATACCTCGGGGCGACATAAAAACAGCCCACACAAACAAACATCACTGAACAATCTTTTTTAATATATTCTCCTCATTTATGCTGCAAATAAAAGCTGCTGCAGTGCTGATAAAAAAAACTGAATCCTTCTATTGTACTGTATTTATCAATCATAGGATAGAATATCTAGAAAAGCTCACGGTTTTTTTATGGTTAAAATTTCGTCTCTCCATTGGAATAAATACAGGATTTGCCAATATACAGGATGACACAATATAGCTTGGTAGCAAATTGAGCAGTGGCAATGAAAAAATAAACACCAAATGTTGAAAGCTTGTTCAATATCCTGAAGAAACTGTTTTTGAGTAGCAATCCAGTCAGATAAAAGAAATTTGCTTTCAGGGGGTCATATAGAAGCCACAAGGCTGGCACTCAGCAAGCTTGCATCATCAGGATTTGGGAATTTAGTAACATATCCTTTCTCAAATATTTTTTTTGCATGTCTCACCCCCACCTCCTAAATTTTAGGAATGTGTGCACCCTTTTGAAAGCAGCATCAATTTTTCTGGTTAAATTATTGCTCCTACTGCACCCCATTTATCCCTTAGAAACAGTTCTGAGGTACAACAGCTTAGTGGGAGGAGTTTCCTGATAACATTGTTCCTGGAAAGTTTTCATTCAAATAGTTTTTGTGAACATGCAATGACACTTGGACCATACATGCCATTTGAATAAAGGGAATTGAACTAGATTCCCTTTGTTTCTTCATTTTCGATTGCCACAGCTCAATTTGCTACGGAGCTATTGTTAATAAAAAAAATCGATTTTTTGGTCGACCCTGTATTTATGCCATCTCACGGTATAATACTTCCCAACTTTTTGATGATCCTCAATTTGAGAAGGGGTCGTGCGTATCGAATGCAGAAAAACGTTATCCAAAATCCTTGCTTCAATCACGTGATGATGCAAACTTAATATCTATAATTAAGAATAAATGTTCTGTTGAATAATTGTATGTGTGCAAACTTCGGACTAAAAATCCCCAGTGTTGTCAAAAAAAGACAGAAGAATTTGGCCGTATAATCCAGATTCTTGCGTGCTCTGCTTCTATGTCAGCAAATGTTGTTCTCCATCATTACTACAAGTTTTGACAGATGTCGCTACAAGAACTAGAAGTGAGATGTCAAACCGGCACAGTGGCAAATTTCCAGTCGGAAATTTTGGAACACCAAATGCAATTTCCATCCGGTTCCTGGAATCCGTGATCAATCATTGATGCTGATCGAAGACTTGATCCGTGAAATTGGCCTTTTTTTCTCTTCTCTGACTGCTGGTGAAGATTAAAAATGCTGTCAGATTTGCTTTGTTTTTCAAAGAGATTAAATTAAAAATGATTTATTCAATCTGTGTTTTTTATAAATAAAAAAAAACCTCACACACCCGGGAAGGTCTTAATTCAAACTGTTTCGTCCTATATATTTCAATTCAAAATTCATCCAGAAGCGATTTGCATTAAACTCAAGCAAAAAAAAAAAAAAGGAAACTTCGTGAGAACCCCGTTTTGCCTTTAAATTTTTTGGGGAAACGTGTGGTGGAACTTAAAACGTAGACAACAATTACTGAACATCGGTATTGTACTGTACTTCTTTGACCATTTCCGTTCTTCCATGGATGGAAGAAAAAATAAACTCACGCATCACAATGATGATATCAAGAACCTGTTCGAGGTCTTCTTCAAAAAATTATTTGCCATGCGTAAATTCATAACCTTTATTAAGTTCCCACAACCTGCCGAAATTCGCCCTCACCATATTGCAGGGCGTTAATCTAATTATCCCCACTGCATTTGTCACTTTTTTTCTGGAGAAACCTCCGAAATTAAAAGGTTTGTTCAATCAATCAATCACTAGGAATGGTCTTTCTGGAGAATTCATATGAATTCAGTTTTTTTGTTATAAATTGCGTGCTGTTGATTCCTAGAGCTCAAGATTGATTTTTTTGTAACTTTTGAAACCTTTCAATCCAAAGTTCAAGCTGTGACTTTCGGAAATTTTGACTTGGAAGAGATTTCAAGTGAAGGATTTTGACATTTTTTTTTAGACGTAACAGGAAGAATGAATTATGGAACATTCCGAATGGTGATCTTCTAAGTCTTGAACCGCTAAATAAATAAATTGACTAGGATTATTTAAACTTAGAGGCAACCGTTAATTTTCCAAATTATTCACACACTTACTGTTGAAAAAGTATTGTCGCATAATTATTGCTTGTCTCTTCCCTGAATAGCTAAAATAATGCCCGGAAGGCCTTCCAAAAATTGACTTAGTTTTGAGGGGAAAGTCTTTCAGTCAGAAATGTTTGTTATAAATTGTTCATGAAGGAATTCAGCTGTAACGTAAAATATATAGACAGAAAAATTTTGATTTTACCAGGTTTGAGTTACTGAGATTCAATCACAAAGGATTCTGATTTCTAGATTATTTGGAAAGTTTTTCGAGGTTCACCCGTAACAATTCTGAATTCCATCTTTAAAAAGAAAGATCACCCTTTAATCCTGAAGAAATACCGTATTTACTTGAGTACCATGTGCACCTTTTTTCCCAAATTTCAGAAAAAGGGGGTGCGCGTCATAAGTGGGTACAAAATTTTCAAGAAGTTTTAGGAAGTTATGTGATGTGCATTATACTTGATTATAACGGAGAAATTTGGGGGAAAAATGTAACAAGAAAACGTTCTTGTACTGAAAAAGTTGAAAATTGATCAGATTTTTGTTCAATTCATGCCTGAGGTGAAATTTTTTGTGTTCATTTGCAAAATTTTGTGGTTTTAGATTCACTAAAAATTGGGGTGTGTGTCTCACTTGGGGATAGGATTTTAGCAAAATTTCCAACTGAAAAACCCCCATGCGCGCCTTACTTAACCCTCAGACGGCAGAGGGTTCATTTCCATTGGGAGGCAAAGTTGGGATATTTTATGGGGGGTGGAGCATTTCAGTTTGACCCAAGGTTACTGAAATGCTCCCAGGTTGAGAAGGCCTAAATTGGAAAAAATCTGGGAGACAAATTCTCTTCTGTCTTCAGGAATTTTCCATGCTGATCCTATACCAGGAATGCATGAAAAAACGCCACCCAGTGAGGGATTTTCTTCATTTTTCATCTAAAATTTTCTGCAGGATTAAAAAAAAATGTCAGACTTTTTCCTGACTCAGGCCTTCCTACAAAAGTTGCATTTTTTAAATTCCCAGTTCTCAGTGACGCAAAATTTTGCAAATATATCCCGACTTCGCCGCACAAGGGTTAAAGGCGCGTGGTACTCAAGTAAATACGGTATTTCATGTACAGTCTGAAATTGAATCCACAGAAGATGAGGTTCACGGGATTCGTCGCCACTTCAGCGCCACCGCCAGTATTAATGCAGCAGCAGGTGCTGCTGCTACTGTTGGTCGCCGCCGCCGTCGCCACCGCCTCGACCTTCGACACCCTCATCTCCGACACCAGCGGCACCGAATTGGTGTCGGACGCCAGCAGTCGCGGCGGCTCGGTGTTGCGCTGCCGCCAGTCCGCCACTCTGTCCAAGAAGACGACTTGGGCGTCCTGCGACGAGAGCTCTTGGCAAGAGCCCGTGCTTTGCGAGTCTGACGGCACCCACCAGGCCCGCTGCGTGGCGGCCGTGGACCTCAGGGACCATCGCGTGTCCCGGGGCTGCATGAACCACAAGGACGCCGACTTCCTCTACATGTACTCGTCGCCCAAGGAGCAGGCGGGCCAGTGTCGAGTGTCGCGAGGCACGGTGTACTGCTTTTGCGACAGTGACGAGTGCAACGACCACCAGCTCATTGTGAACCACCAGTGTTTCCACTGTGGTCGCAAGGGCCTGGGCCTGCAGGAATGCGCCACTCGGGCCGGGGTCATTCACAAGTGCCTGTCGCCGTACGTCTTGTCGCTGGGCAAGAAGACCATGGGCTACATGTACTGTGTCAAGGAGATTGACTACTCCAAAGATGGCGCTGTGGCAAGGTAAAGAGTAGATACTATAGTAGTGCATATGTAGAACTGTGTTCCCCAATCCCCCAACCCGTGGTTTGCAGACTGGCACCACCATGCAGCCAGCAGAAGTTTTTTTTTTGCCACAATTTTCTTCAGAGTAATAAATGGTACTTTCCTGTTATCTCTGTACCTTCCCTCTTACCAATTTAACCTGACCTAACCTAACTTCACCTAACCGCCTCCCAAGGTTATGTCAATTGAAAGATATTTGTAACTAATATAACCTGACCAAACCTAACTTCACCTAACCACCTCCCAAAATCAGTTTAAGCAGAATGCAGAAAAATAAAATTCACAGTTTCTGGTAGGTTGTTGTGGTTATGAACTTGTCCTAAAGATTTTTCTGGATGGTAGAGCGGTCTAGGAATGAGGTACAGAGATAACACAAAAGTGCCTTAAATTTATCAAAAGTATTTTGGAAAGACAATGGTGGTTGAAGTTATTTGATGGAACATAAAATTTGGCTCTTCTTGCGCTAACACTTGTTCAGACAAATTTCTGATTGCTGAGATAAATTATTCTGATTTTTCATACTGAGAAACCTTTCTTGAAGCCCATCTTTCTAATTTTTCAAGGACATTCAGCTATAGCTGCTTCATTGGTTCTTGACTCAATTGTTTTTAAACCAGAGAACAATTTAAAATACCTCCTGCCTTAAACTCTTTCAAGCCAAACTTTTGTGGGTTTGAAAATTTTTTTAAAAGAAATATTGCCAGTCTGCAGAAAAACTTTTGGGAATTTGCTTTTTTGCGAAAATTGTTAAGGAAATTTGCTGGTCTTTGGGCCCAAAAGGGTTGGGGAACAAGGGTACATATAACAGTGTTCCCCAGCCTTTTTGGATTTGAATTTCCATAGAAATTTTGCATATCAGCAGCAAAATTTTAAATACATGCCATAAAGTCCTCCACACAAAGCCTTTATTGCAAAATTCAATATGAGAACCAATGGAACAACTATATTAAAATGTCTTCAAAAAATTAGAAAGCTGGGCTTGGAAGATAAAAATTATTTCAGAATAATGAAAGCTTGAAATAATTTAAGCAGGTGAAAATTTGTCTAGAAATATAAAGAGAAAAGCCAGTTTTATTTTTCATCAGATAAATCCCACCGTTGATTTTTTCCTCCCAAAATTTCAGATAATGATAAGACTTGTTACTATCTTTGAAAAATGTATTATGATGAAGAAAACTTCAAGAGGACCCAGGAATGGCAAAGAAGATACGTAATAGATGAGTGCAGAACCTGAACATAACTTGTATGCACTAGATTTACCTGAGCTAGCCAAAAAAAACTTTATAGAGTCTTAAATAAGTGCAGTTCACTGAATTTCAAGTGTATAAAATGGACTAGATTCAGGAATAAATTCATGTGATGCAGCAATTTTATTTTCGTTCCTTTTTTTCCTCACAATTACAGGTACTGTGAAGTCCTAGATTCCCCACCGAGCTCCAACTGCATGTGGGAGGGTGACGTTTACAAGTGCTACTGCCAGCAAGAAGGTTGCAATGGCTATTAGGACTGCACACACTCTCCTACTTGTTTTCTCATATATGAGCAATATTCTTTTTGTTAATCCTTTATAATCTTCATCCTGTGTCCTCTTCTCTTCTTCATCCATCAAATCCACAAGATCTTTGAGCAGATAAAACTTTTAATTCCCTGGTTTTTCACGTTTAAATCCAGTGTGGGCGAGGCTAAATTATGGCGAAGTTGGGGCATCCACAAGTCAGGGAGTATGACTTGGAAACACACTGTATATATTATTTGAATAATTATTTCTACCACTCTCGTTTCTGCAATAAGATAATTCAAGGCGTTGAAAGTTGCAATTCGCTTTTATTCAAAAGAGAGGAGCTATTGTTAGTCTCGAATGTTAAGCTTAAGAAATTCTGTCAGAACTTTTGTAAATTTTCTTCAAAACTAAATTTTCTTCACAAAAGCTCTTACATTTGTAACGCACATTAGCTACCAAAAAAAGAATTATAGGATTAATCAAAGATTTGAAAATATTTTGCTATGATTCTGTGCATGGTCATTATGATTAATATTTAATATGCTGATACATTACAATTGTTACCTAAGAGCAGAAGTAACAATGGAATTCTTGGGGAGATAAAATTTTCTTTCAAAATTAAGAATCCATTTTGTGATTGAATGTTATTTTCTATTCAGTTTTTCTTCGCACCAATTTCTTCTTTGCTTTACTTTCTACTAAAGTAATAGAAAAATATTTTTGAAGAATAATAAATATTCAGAAAACAGAAAATGGCAAATTTCAAATTTTTTTTTACTGAATTTAAATAATTTTCAAAAATTTCAGAACCTGCTGCTTATTCCACGAGATTTTAGCTTTGACCATTCAAAATAGTATCGTACACTGTGAAAAAAAATGTTGAAATAATTTTTTTGTTTTTCTTTCTTCGGGTGAAATAAGTTGAAATATGCCCGTATATAAGGAACACCAGAAAAATGCCTGCTTTTTCTGTATAGAGAGTCCGCTTTTGTGTCAAGTGCTGCTGTACATGATTTTCCACTCGAAATTTCCCATAAATGTTCCTTTTACTCGTAAGTCGTAACGCACTTCGATGCCATGTGAATTGTTTCCCTGTGCAAGAATTCCAGCATTATTATTAGAATGAGTTCAAAAGTTTCCACATCATTTCTATATATAGGATAAGTTAGATATATACTGTATACTGTACGCTATAGGTTGACGCAAGCCCCATTAAAAGGACAATTTTTAAATTCTTCAGCACAGGAACACATTGTTTTTTTTCAATCTGAAACACAAGGCATACATTACATTTAAAAAACGCATTCCCTTGAATTACTGAATCGCGATTATATAGAGGGTGATTGCTTTTTCTGGAAGTGAGGACCACATACTTCAAAAGTTGCACAACTCAACTCTGACCGGTTCTCGTTAATGACGAGACAGGAACGACGAACGAGGAGCTGACACAATTGAAAGACCAAATGACGAGAAAAAAAGGAAGAGAAAAATGATTTGAAATGGACAGCAGGTTGCTCAATCCTCGTCACCCGCCGTATCCAGAAACCCACTTGTGTCCTCACTTTGCTGGGTCGGGGTTTCCAGTGAGGTAGTGGAAACTTTGAACTTGTGGACTTTCAAGTGTGCATGATGTGCATCCGTATACTGTTCAAGAAATTTTGTTTTTTCAACTTTTGGTGGAAATACAATATGTAACTCTCTTTACAATGAATCTCAAGGGGACCAGAAAAAAATAAACTTTCAAATTAGTGGACTTTCAAGAGTGATGTGCATACCTATACTGTTTAAGAAATGTTGCTTTTAATTTTTTTATGGAAATACTGAATTTATATACAGTTTGACTCCCTCTCGAGAACAAATCTCAGTGAACCCGAAAAAACTGGTTGTAGGGAGCATTTCATTGTAGAGAACTACTCCTATAACATGGGAAGAGAACCCCTGTGTGTGGGACCACCAAAAATAGGTTGTACGAAATAAATTATTGTAGATAATACCATGGTAGAGAGAGTCCACCTAAAAGTGATTTTGCAGAACTTGGAAGGCGTTTTGAATTGCATATCTGGCAAAGTTAAGAATGCAGATTTTCATAAAAATATGTCCTACGTTTTTTATATATAGTGGTTGATTTTGGTACTGTACCAGAGTTGATTAAGGTGGACTATCTCTCTCTCTCTCTCTCTCTCTCTCTCTCTCTCTGTAATTTTCTTGTCTACAGCGATTTTTTTCTGTAAAATGAATTTTTTGGTTCCAAATAGGGTTCTCTTCCCAAGCTGTAGGGATTTTTTTTACAATGAAGTCGTCTTTACAAGGAATTTCTGGGTCCCTTTGTGCTTTGTTGTAGGAAGAGTCCACCTGTAATTGTTTGCCACACTTTTCGACATCTGTTATTAATTTAGTCCCAGTGATATTTAGTGGCTGTGGAGATGGATACACTCATTTATCCAGAATTATATTTCTTGACAAATTTAAAAATGAGAAGTGTGAAACTTCTAAATTTTTATAATTTTTTATTTGTGACGATTTTTGGAGGAATGATACTGTATTTCAGTTGGACTCTCTCCACAACAAAACTGAAGAGACCAGAGATAAAAAATGCTGTAAAGAGAATTTAATTGTTGAGACTTATAACATGGGAAGGAACCCTGTATTTTGAGTCAAAAAAGAGTGCTTTATAAAGAGAAAATCATTGTAGACAATATCAAGGTAGAGAGAGTCCACCTGTATTATCTTTTGTAATTCAATCAAGTTTATTGGTCCATTTTTCAGTATAACTGTTTTCTCTTTGGCTTTTCATGTTTATCATTATTATGTCAAACCTGATGAATGATGTGCTGAAGTAATAAACAAGAACTATTGACCCCATAAATTTAAATGAGTTCACTATGAGTGTGACGGTTCTTCGCCAAATTTCATTTTCTCCTTCAATTTTGTGCTGATGTGTCAAATTACTTTTTGTGCTGCGGGGGATTTCTCACATTTTTTTACGCTTTTTTCTGTTGTCATTTCCTGTGACAATATATTGCATTAACATAACTGATTTATTTTTTCATGCAAGTCAATATGAACAATGACGTGTGACTTGTGTGACTTGTGTGAGAGCCTTTGATTGCAGTCATCATTTTTTTAACGAATACAATTCTTATCACAGGTACTAAATTATTATTATATTTGCATCTGGTTCATTAAATTCAGAATTAGTATTATATAGATTTATTGCAGCTAATAATGATGAATTTTTATTAGCAATGCATCTGAATATCAATGATGAATATCGTGGATGAGATACAAATAATATTACAGCATATTTATCACGAATTAAATTCGCGTGAAAGACGTTTATAGCGGATGCGTTACAGGTTCCGTTTCATTATTATTCCTGCATGATATGTTCGCAGATGCGCACTGCTTCCTCATGGTTCGGGTTGACCCTGGTCCTGGGGCTAGTTTGGAACCCCTGCTCTTATTGCAGCCCAGTGTCCGGGTTGCCGTCGGTGTTGCGCGTTATCGACACGGGTCACCGACGGGTCACGCGATCAGCGCCATCTTTCAGATCCTCGACGCAGTCATCGTCCCGATACGCGACTAGTGCTGGTGGGGGGCTGAGACCCCCAGAAAGCGCGGAACAACAGGGCAAAGAAATACGATTGGAGGAAGTCAGGAAGGGGGACGTGAAGCAAAGCGGGGCATTCGGAGGACAGAATTTCAGCATTTTCTCCTTCAAAGGCGCACAAGTAAATGTCGTGTTTGTTATTTAAAGTTGAATCTCGTCATCGAGAAGTCGAAATTCGAAATTTCAGTCAAAATTCGAAATTTCAGTCAAAATTCGAAATTTCAGTCAAAATTCGAAATTTCAGTCAAAATTCGAAATTTCAGTCAAAATTCGAAATTTCAGTCAAAATTCGAAATTTCAGTCAAAATTCGCAAAGACGGGCAAAAAATTCAACTTTGACACTTTTTGTCTCCATGATGGGAAACTACAATTTTTGCATTAAAAAATATTTTACTCATCAGTTGAAATTGGCTTTTTGAGCGCAGAACTGCATATATGTTTTGGCATGATGATGCTGAACATGGAGACAATGATTTCATTTTTCCAATTTGTCCTTCCGTTATTTTCAAAAGCAGAAAGTTTAATTTTTAATTGCTTTTCACTTTTCTGGGTGCCAAGAATAATCGCCAGAAGGCCTCAAGAAAATTTTAGTTATACCGTATAATATTGATTAGGTCTGAGGGGGGGGGGAATCAGAACTTTAAAATTATTGGAAACATGGAGTTACAGTACTTATTTCAAATAAAGGGGTTCAGTTGCCAATTTTCAAATTTACTTGAATACAGTACTGTGTGACTAAACTGTATGTATTTTGCTAAAGATGTCCATACTCCAGTTATATAGCCCAATAAGTCTTGTCTTTCTGAGCATTTTTCCTGGAAAAAGGTGTCCAACCTATAATCAAAAAGGAAAAGAAAAGAAAATACTGATAGCCCAAGTCTTGTCTTTCTGAGCAATTTTACCGGAAAAAGTTGTCAAACCTAATCAGAAAAAAAAGAAAAGAAAATACTGATAGCCCAAGTCTTGTCTTTCTGAGCATTTTTCCTGGAATAAGGTGTCCAACCTAATCAAAGAGAAAAAGAAAAGAAAATACTGATAGCCCAAGTCTTGTCTTTCTGAGCATTTTTCCTTGAAAAACGTGCCCAACCTAATAAAAAAAGAAAAGGAAATACAGTAGTTATTTCTCAACTTATAACAGGAATCATAAAAAATCCTGTGACAGCATTCTTTTTTTACTCAAAATTGTCCTGTGAGCTTCAATTTACGGGAAAATTTCAACAATAAAAAACTGACCCACAACGCTGGAAAAAATGAAAACAACTAAATTTTTCTCACTGAGAGCTGGGTTCTTATGTTTATAGACAGGATTTTCCACGAATTTTCCTTGTGAAAACAGAGCTGAATGGTGTCTCACAACAAGTCACAAGTCACACCTGGATTAGCAATTTTATTGGAACTAGATTTACCACTTCAGCCGCAGCTTGAATCATATACATAGTCATCAAACCTCTTATCCAGTTGAACTGTATAGATCTAGAACAAGCCAAAAATATTTGACTTTAACTAATCCTTTCGTGCATTATTTTTTTCCAGATGGCG